AAAAATGGGGAAAATTTTTGAAAGTTTTCAAGTTAGTTCATACTTATAATGTTTTTTTTTTATTTCTTCTTGATCAGAGTTATTTGATTGTGCACATTTTGAGTTTTGTAGCCATCAAAATGTCAGCACATTGTTTAGTTTTGTGATTTGGTTAGAAGTATAATTTTCACCTACCGCAGGATCCTTTCATTAATCTAAAGGCATCTCTCTGAAACTTTTGTTTCGTAAAAAAAAACTTTGTGCTGAATAAAAACTAATTTTGACAAAGTTGGAAACAAAAATGATTATAATCGATTAAGATTGATAAAAATAGTTTTTTGTATGAAGTATAATCAAATACAAATAATTATAACAAATAAAATTTTGCTAGAATATATCCCATTTATAATCGATTATAAATGTTTAAACACCTAGTTTAAGAAAATAAATTCAATTACAATTGTCTAAAAATTAACATAATAGTCCGTTATAATTGATGACTTACGCCTAATTTATACCGGCATTTTTTTCCAGCAATTGAAATCAATTTATTTCATTTTTTGTGAAATTACGTTTTAAAAATGATATAGATGTAAAGTAACTTTAAGTAACTTGTAACTGTAATCCATAACAAATCAGAACAATCTATAGAACATACAGGAGTTTATCGAATGCGTGATCACTGTTTCATATACAAGAAAATACGCGTGTGAAAGGTAATTATATGAGGCCTCTAACAAAATGGTACCCATTTTATGAAAACTCCAAGACATTTTTTTTGTGATCAAAGCTTAGACAAGGAAAAGTATGAGATTAGATTCATACTGCTGAAGCCATAGAGAAGATCAGACGGGGTTTGGGTCGAAAACAATTTCGACAAACACCTCGAGCACGCTCGAAACATATATTTGTTGTTTGAATTTATAATTTATATATAACAAAATTAGGCGCAATCGATTGCACTCAAATTATTCCTTCGCCACTTTAAGTTTAGTTTTTGGAATTTAAGTTTTTAATTTCTGTTAGTTGTATCTCAAAAATTGTTTCTTAAAACCTTCACAATCGATAGCACACAAATGTTTCCTTCGCTTTAAATTTACTTTTTTAAAATTTAGTGCTGATATACTGTTATTTAGATCTCAAAAATTGTTTGTTAAAGTTTCTGATTTCAATTATGACTGCTGATGTTTATTAAAAAATACTGTATT